GGGGGGGGGGGGGAAATGAATTTGAGCAAGTATGGAATCTTTGGAAGAAGAGTTCTAATATGGCAAATTTCACGAGTTCTTTTTATTGATATTTCTTTCCATAATTAAATTTTTCTTCCGTGAAAATCGATCGCTCGTTAAGGAAGCGGCACTTTCAGGACCTCGAGCCTTGGGAGTTCATGAGATCGATATGTTTGCACTGACTATTTACTTCATCGTGCAACACTGGAAATCGGAAGGGGGCAGCATCGTTTCCGCCCGATTTTTGAGACCGATATCGGGCTGTGAAGTTTAATGTGAAGCCTTCCAAGTGTGACCTTGAATTTAAAAAAAAAAAAATATTTCTCGAGAAAGTTCATCGCAACTTCCTCTGCATTTTTATAATTTTTTTTTTTTTAATTTCCAGTTCCACGATTTGAATTCCCTTCTCGCAGCCTCGGCGTCTTCCTAATTGGCAAATAATTATTGCGTCCACTCCAATTTCCAGCTTCGGAGAAAAACTGAAAATAGATATTGGTCTCCCCTAACCTCAACATTCCGGGATGGCGCCGTTCTTGTCTCAACCGGGCCCTGTTACGAGGGCCAGAGGAGAAGTTTCTACATTTTGGAATCACTCATCGGATGAAGATAGGAACGGAGAGAAAATCCGTTACTCCAGGGTGTCCTACGTGTCTCAAAGAATTTCTTAATTTTTTTTTCATCTAACGAAAATTCACCACTAGCGGAGAGCAACCAGTTAAAAACGTTGGAAACGGAATTTGCAATTTCTAATTGCGATACGGACTCCATGGTACGGTACACGGTAACTTTTTAAAAATATTTACTGATCAGATATACATGTTTAAAATCAGGTTAAGTCGTCATAATCAGAGAATCGTCATGATCTGACAAATTAAGATCTTTCCTCACCTCATATTCGTGGACAAATCGCTGGTGAACGTGACCACGAGAGTCCCAGACATCTCGAAGATCGGCTCGGGGATTTCCTCGCCGCAGAACACGTCGGTCTCGCCGGTGCTGGGCCTGAAGACGGTGACCCGGTCGTAGGCGCAGTTGAGGTGGTACTCCAGCTGGAGGTCGGTGAAGAGGAGGGTGACGCCGGCGTCCGTCGGGACGGTGATGTTGTACGTGCAGGTCTCGCCGTTGTCGTACGGGTCGGGGTAGTTGGGGGAGGTGAAGTTCCCCGTGGGGGATGTCAGAGCTTGGTCGCAGCCTTCCTGGGCCGATGCGAGGCGGGAAATCAGGCTTAGGAGCAGGAGGCAGTTGGCGCCTTCCATCGTGATGGAGGTTCTGGTGGTGATTCTTCGTGAGGGAAACTGGCGGGCTATCAGGAACTTCCCTGCCGTTTTCTATATCGAAAAATTGGGAAATCCTGCTACGTATGAGTGATGCAAGTGGAGTGTGGGAGACTAGCACCTGACAAAGGAAATAAAACATGTTATCTTCCATTCTCCGTGAAAAGTGTCAGGTGCTTGACGGTGCCTCGTATATACGAATGCGCAGAATCTTTCATCCCATTCACAATTCCAAAACGAGAATAACTTGCTTTGTACCTCAGTGCTCTGGATGCTCACGAAATGGCTCAGCACACCCATAGATCCGATAGGACGCGGATTAGGGGTTAAATGGACTCCGGAAAATATTTGTAAATGATCTTTCGAGAATGAGGCACAGGAGAATTGCCTCGTCTTGTGGATGCGCCTGCTCGTGACCTCAGGCATTTAGAAAGTACTATAAGTACTATAAGTACTAAAGAGGATTTATACTCTCCTCATGCAGGTGAATCTGAAGCGCATAAATTACATATATTATGCAATTAATTTGCATAAATTTGACGTCGGCAACGCTGAACTTTCTTTCATCGGTGCGTTTCTTCAAAACTTCACGTAAGGGCATTATTAGCCCAATCCTGATTTGTTTCTTCCTCGTTGAGGAAAAATTTTTTCCGGATCCGTCACTTCAGACCGGCTATCCCGACGGTGCTGATGCTTTGCTGTCTTCCAGCACGGGGACTACTTCGACCGAAATCGGAATTTTGATGGCCCTGTCGAACACCGATTGATTTCTGGTGTCTCGAGGACTTCATTCCAAGTGGTTGGAGATTGTGAAAGATCTTTCGCCGGGACGAGATGGGAATGCTCGTGAGATCCGATCGCACGACGAGAAAAATTTCGTCTGCTCCAACATTGAAATGCCTTGTCTAGGACCTGTCAAGGACCTGTCTAGGACCTGTCTAGGACCTATCTAGGACTTGTCTAGGAAATGTCTAGGAGGAATTCCCGCATCAAGGACGACAAATTCGTCCGAAAGTACTCGGGGGATTCGCGGAATGCAGCTTCCAGTGCTGTCGAAAGTGAAGAGCAAACATACTTGGTAACCATATGTATCTTGACTTTCTTCAGCTCTAAGAGAAAGGTCATTGACCCTTTAGATACTCCCGGTCGGTATATTAGAGTTGTCCATGATCAGCACTTATTCAAGCTTTTATTTTTTCTAAAACGAATTTATTCTCATTCATACCATAAGTTAACACATTTTCGATCTATCATTTGCTGTGCGTCATAAAATCCAATTAGACATGAAGCATTCGTTGACTATGGCGTATCAATACCTATAGTTTCAACTGATCAGCAAACCACACCTCACACATTTGTGCCAAAGGTACTCCGGTGCCACAGACACCTTTTTCTTTGCTCATGGAGACACCTTTTTTTCCCCGTGAAGCGAAACTTTCCAAAATTTCCCGGATGGCAAGACACGATTTCACGGAAGAGCTCCCGATCGTCGAAATCTCATATATGATCTCTGAAGTCGGGCCTGCTGAGGCGACGCTCGCGGCAATTTCAGAGCATCGAGGAACATCGGGGCCGCGGACGTCGAGTCTGCATCCGGTCTTCGTGGATCTCACAGACCGTGGGCGGACTTGATGAGGTCGGAGGCCTTCTCCCCGATCACGATGCATGCTGCCATGGAATTGCCGGAGACGATCGCCGGCATGATGGATGCGTCTGCCACTCGCAGCCCCTTCACTCCGTACACCCTGGACAAAGAGACGAGGTGTTAATCATGTTGTGCATGTTCCATTATTCTTATCATGTACGCTATCTATAGATGTATTTTATAATGGACTCTAACAAAAATGTTCATATATCAAGTACATAAAGATGATATAGAAAACAATTTTTTTAAAAGGATTTTCATTGTATACCCTATATTAACCTCTTAAGATGCATGCTTTCAGTTATAGCATCTGAATGTGTGACCTCGTCTGTACTGCATGATCTTACTTGAGAGTGGGATCGACGACGGCCCCAGGATCAGTGGATGGTCCCATTTTGCACGTGCCAACGTCGTGCCAATGCAGATACGTGAACTGCCGAATCTGACACTCCCAGTAGTCGTCCGTGAACTGCGTCAGATGCTGACAGCCCGGCAGGGATTTGCTGTAGAATTCGGCACCAAACTTCTTGAACGCGGGATGCTCTCCCAATCGCAACACCAGACGAGTGGCTGGCGATTCGAATAAAACAGGAAAAAAAATTTTCATACAGGCATTTAAAATTATGAAATTTATTCTGTGATACCTTCGATTGCGACCTTGACGTCGTCCGGGTCCTTGAAGTAGTTCCCGATGATAACTGGATGATCAAGGACATCCGTACTGCGCAGCAAAATCTTCCCTCGACTTTTTGGCCGAGTGGGATGGGGATAAATTCCGAAACCGGGTCGTAACTTGAGCCCTGAGTATCCTCGCCATGCCTGACGGAGACAGGGAATTTTGCTATCAGACATACAATGCGAAAAAGAAAGCGTAATTATGCTTCTAATGTTATTAATGAACTTGAAATTTAAAAATTTTAAAGGCTATTTTTTTTTAGCAGTGTAGACATTTTGCTAAAATTTGAAAACAACCATGGAAAAGCATAGCCTTTTAAATCCATTTTTACTTGATTAATGGAGGAACGCATATGAGCGAAAATGGCTTAGGACGGGTGATTTTTGATTAAGAAGTCGCAGCAGTGGATTAGTTCCAGGTAGCCATTTTGCATATCAGACCTGCATGAGAGCTGAAAAGGTGTTACCGGACTCGTCCAGGAAAACTGCCAGGGGACGAGACGATTCACCTTGAAAGGATTTTTTCCTTGAGTCCTGGCTTACGGGCAAAACATCTGAGCATTACAAAAAATATACGAATTAAAAAATTAGGATGACCAATGAAGTTCATTGGCTTCTTAACCTATCAGATTCAGAAAGCCTTAGGCAAGTAGATGAGGGGGGGGGGGGGGGGGGGGGGGGGGGGGCCCCTTCTCTAAGATAAACGACGAACATGGCTGAGGAGGCTTCTTGTAGACCGGAACGGGGGTCCTCGAGGAGGCGAAAGCCTCATCCTTAGCCAGCAAGTATTTCCGTCTGAGAAGAAGGAGAGACGGAAGCGCTATTGGAAATGCAAGGAAGGTAAGTTCAATGATCCGCATGCAACTCTTGGGTAGATTCTGCATAGCGAAAGTGACGACGAAAAAAGACGAAACTATTAATATATGGTCGAGGCATGCCAAGGTGAAAAAATTGCAGATTACCATGTGATGTGTAATTCATAAAATTATTTGATATCTCAATAAAACAAATTCATCATGCCTTTTGAAGGTGTGTCGGCTAATAAAGTAAGCAAATGCTTCCTTTACTTTAACTTTAAACTTTAAAGTACTAAAAACTTTAAACCTTTAGTCATCAAGATGTATTTGAAATTGGCCATTGGTCGGCATTCCTGGAAGGTTTGACCAATGCCGAGAGTAAAAAATCAAAGCTTAGAGTGGTAAAATGTACCTTCCTGAACTCGTGTGGGGACGGTGGAGTAGTGGTATAGTAGTCGAAACGAAACACATTGGTCATGAAATCAAGGGTTCGAATACGGACAACAACAAAAAAATTCGGCAGTGGCGGAAGAGAGAAGGAAGAGAGTAATCGGCATTCCCGGGAGAAGACTTCTGAGACAGGTTTCACAGTTCGGCGTTCGTGGAAGGATAATGCGTGTCGGCGGTCGTGGAAGCGGCATTCCAAGTACTAACCCGATGCATCCACCTTGCTTCCATGCGAAGTGGGAGGAGGCACGACGGGGAGCGTGATCGCGAGTCGGCTGTCGGAGAACCCGTGGGCGAAGGTGCTGCTGATCGAGGCCGGCTCGGACGGGTCCAAGCTCTCCCTGATACCTCCCTTCGCGTCGTTCATGTGGTGGTTCACCAAGTTCGACTATGCCTATTCCAGTGAGCCTCAGGAGGATTCCTGCCTCGCGCTCAAGGAAGGGGTAAGTTCCGTCGCTATTTTGTCATTTCTTCAAGTACTTGCTTTCCTAGTTTCCGTTTTCATATTATTGAGATTATCACGCAATGAAAAATATATTGTAACATGGTACAGCTAATTTGCATAAGTTATTATGCCGTACACACGTCTCCAAATGGCATCTATATTTCTTTTTTAATAATACAGCGTCATCAAGAATGGATATATTCGAATTTGCTTCGTTCATTGCTGAGGTACTCTCCAGCGTTGGCCTCGCTTCATCATCCGTTTCATTTGATCGTTTTCACCTGCATTGACCCACTTCTTACCAGTTTCACTCATCAATACCATGCGATTAAACTCTCAAGGCCGTCGCATTATATCGCATTATATACTCATTTCCCGCCCATAAATGAAAAAATTGTTTATTCGTCATCAGCGATGCCGCTGGTTCCGGGGTCGGATGCTGGGTGGCAGCTCGGCTCTCAACGGCGCCCTGTACGTCCGTGGAAACCACAAGGACTACGACAACTGGGCCTCCCTGGGGAATCCCGGCTGGTCCTTCAAGGACCTCCTCCCGCTCTTCAAGAGGGCTGAGAACTTTCTCATCGAGGATATTCCCGATGGTAAGAGCGGAGTATGTAAGTAACCCTCCAAGTCTTTCCGTCCAGCTCGGGTATCGAAAAAAAAATTCCCCTAGTTCGGCCTCGGGTGTTTGATGAATTCTTGGAGTAAGGTGATCCCTGCGCTTCCAGGAAAAGCCATATCTAATGACGACAGGACGTTACTTGACATCGTAGATGTGGCTGTTTTGTGTGTCTCATTGCCTATATCATGAAAGGTTTATCATTTAGGATTTTTCGGAATTTAGGATTTTATTATGATGGCCGACACATGCCATCGTAACTTCCATGCCCCTGTAACTGACCCCAGCTCTTTCCTTCTCGAGGGTTCAGAAGCGAAATGCTAAAAAGGAGTTCAGGTGCTTTCGTACGATTGGCCTGTGCAAAGATTGCGGCTCGTTTGTTGAGGAGATTCTTAGCGAGGAGCATTTAGACATTTATTGTCGTTAGGGCCGAGAGAACATGTAGTGTGGTACATTTTTTTAACTTTACGGTAATTGCAGGTAACAAATTCAAGTTGCACAGGCCTTTAGTGAGACTCAAGGCGAGGTGCATATTAGGAGCTCCAAGTTTTCCAGGTGTCAAGAGACAATTCTTCCTATCAACCTTCAACCTTTAACCTTCAACCTTCAACCTTCAACCTTCAACCTTCAACCTAGTCTTCCCTTAGCAATCTCCCACGGCAGCCTCCACGTGACGCACTTGGGAAGAGCCTCGTGCTTGCCCCTCGTCACACATATTCGAGGCATGACGAAAAAAAGGACAAAATCAGTAAGTTTCCCGGGTTTGCAAAGACACTGAACTTGCTTCGTGAAAGAAACAAGAGCTTCCGCCATCAGCATGAAGGTACATTAAACGGAGAGGCCCTCTTTAAATCTGCTCGAAGTTAGCCCTTAATATATTCTTGTTGTGCAGAGTTGGAATCTGAGTGGCTTATGCGATTCTTTCCAGAGAATAATACTTGAGATCGATAGTCATGACCGACAGATCTACCTTGGCCCTTCAGGAGGTAGTTGAGGACGCTGGGGATGAGATCGACCGTGAGAATCTGCGGGACGTAGTAGCCTTCCTTCTGGGTGAAGCTGAAGTAGAGTCCCCCGGGGCCTGCGTGGCTCTGAAGGTTCTCTCCCACAGGAAGGTTCACCAGAGACCGGATCTGTGCGTGCAGGACAAGGCGGTGAAACCGGCCTCTTGTAAGGCTCATGAACAAGTGAAAGTACTGAATTCCATTTCGAATATTTCGAATAATTATCTCTATGCCAGAGAAAAATGTCTCCTAAACAGCAAGTCGAGTAAGACTGACATCAGATACATTTTTTCTTCCTTTGCAACAACTATTAGAACGCAAATTTCAGAGGATTCGAGGCGCCAACCTGATACCGGTCGAGTTCGTCTTTGGGTCCGATGCCGGAGAGCATGAGGATCTGAGGAGAGGCGACAGCCCCAGCCGACAGGATCACCTCCTTCGTTGCCGATACGAAACGCTTGGAACCGTCCACAGCCAGGAACTCGATCCCCTTCGCTGTCTTCGTCGACTCATCTATCACGATCTGGCGGAAGAGAAGGCAATGTATGCTGATTGGCGAGTTGAATTAATGCTGGTATATTGACGACAGTCAAATTAGTATGTCTAACAATTTATTTAAATGCCATGTATTTTTCTTCGTGCCTGTTAAAATTCATGCGTAGTTCCTTGAACTGGCAGACATTTCTTTAATCCTACTCCTGTTGCATTGATTACCGCATTCTGTGAAGTCAGTCTGGCACTCGGAATATTCCGGGACCCACAGCACTAAGGTTAAGATGAGTCACTTGAATGGTTTCCAAATATCAATTGGGATCGAGTTACCGGGGATCTGTCGTTGAAGTCCGCGTACCTTGGCAACGGGGGTATTGAGGACGACGTGGAGGTTCCTGCGGCGCTTCACAGGCGTCAGATACGCCCTGGCCGTGCTGTATCGGATTCCTCTCTTGGCCGCCACTTGCACCTGGCTGAAACCTGCCCAGCGGAGGCAATTAGTGCGTTGCCTCCGTTGTTCAGGGTGATTCAGAAGTCTGGCAACATTTGTGATTTTTTTCGCCATTGAACATGAGTTTTCTCTTGGCTCTTTCTTTGTTTTAGATGTTCTTAAAGTAAATTTAGTCGCGTCAGCAGCTCGATATAGAGGGTGGTTATAAAGTCCTGCGGATGTATCGTAAACGTCGAGATGGTGCTCGTGTCATTTTAGGTGGCAGCACCATTACCCGCTACCCAATATACAGGGTGTCCCATAAGTCTGGAACCATATGGTAAAATAAATGCTGCACTTATGCGGGAGCGCATCATCGACGCATGTAACACCAACACTCTTGGCACTATTCGAAGTATGATTGCAGACTGGATACCTCGTCTGCGTCTCGTGTATCAATCATAATGGACACATTGAACACTCGTAGCAAAAGGCTATCCATCCCAAGCATTATTTTAACGGATACCACGCTGAGCAAGCTCTTCCTGAACATCGGACCGAGACAGGTTCCCGTCGTGGACCCTGTCCGATCCAGCGATCCAAGCGATGGTGCTGCCACCTGGGATGATAGTGGCACCATCTCGACTTTTATAAAGCTATTGGCCTTCCCATGTCATTATCTGTGCACCCTGCATGTTTGGTGATCCTACTCCACCTACTTTGATCAATACAGCACTGTAAACCCCTCACAGGACCTCACAGGACCTCCTCAAAACCTCCATGTATTTCACGGGAGTGCGAAACTTCAAATACCCATGTCGAAGGGGACAGATTGAATTTTCGTTTTCCCCTCTTCCTTCAAGCCTGAAGCATGGCCCGTTAGAAGTTGGCAAATTTAATAGAAGTATGAATTTAGCATTTGATTTTTCAAATTTGTTTATTCATTTTTTTTTTCTGCTGGGCAATGCCGACAGACAACGAGGGAATTTCGAAGTTACTGGCGAAGATCCAGTAACGAAATTCCATTTGCGAATTTTGCTACCATGGCGACTTGGCTCATTTCAATTTTTATGAAGCCCATAAATAAAACAGAAGATTCTTGATAGACTTGATAATGCGGAGCGTCCTCAGAACTCAAATATAGTCACGAGTAGTAGAGCCATTTTTGATTTTTTAAATTTGGCAGCGATGCACACGTCCTTCGAATAATTGCAATAATTAAAAGGCAAGGGAACTCGATCAAAATGTTTAAAGCTCTTGAATCTCTTTGCGTACCGTGACGTCGTCCGACGAGGCATTACCTTTCTGAAATGCGCCGTTGTAGTCTTCATTATAGGGAAAGCCGGCGCTCTGGCCGGCCTCGATGAATGCAGGCAGGACGTGCGTGATGTACGTGTGGGAGACGGGGAAATATCCGTCGGTTCCGTGATAAGCGACATCCGCTAGGGATGAACGCGACAAAAAAATTATTATTTTTATTTGGAGTTGAAGCTGGTTGACATAGTTACCGTTTGCTTCAATCACTGGTACCCGCAGGTATTTAACTAATTATTATTTTTATTCAGCGAATCCCGATGCGGGAAGGATTGCCACGCAGGCGGTAATTTTAGGAGAGATGCGAAGGCTATAAGGGGTCTGAACCCATCATAAGGCGCGTTTCTTGACATTTCCTTCTTTTTTTCCTGCCCACTTGCAACACAGATTGCTTAATTGCTTAATTACTCCCTCTCAATGCGCTCGGCTTAACAACACTGACAGACCCCTTCTCCATCAATTATGACATTACGGTGTTTCCTTTACCCTTTCTCCACTCTCATACAGCACGCATAGTGCACTATATCTATTCTCTTTGAGAGACTTCGCACCGTGACAAAAGCAGACTATGAAAAAATAAAAGACAGCTTTTCAATAATTGCCATATTTCAATTTCAATAATTGCCTCATTTCAATTTCAATAATTGCCTCATTTCAATTTCAATAATTGCCTCATTAAGGCAATGCATTCAACAACCCTCGAGAAGGAACTGGGGTCGATTACAGGGGCATGGAAGTTACGATGGCAGGTGTCGACCATCGGAATAAAATTCTAAATTCCGAAAAATCCTAAATGATAAACCTTTCACGATATAGGTAATCAGAAACAAAACAGCCAACGATTCCACGTAACGTCCTGTCGCCATTAGACATGGCTTTTCCTGGAAGCGCAGGGAACACCTTACTCCAAGAATTCATCAAACGCCCGAGGCGGAACGAGGGGAATTTTTTTTTCGAAACACGAGGTGGACGGAAAAACCTTGGACTTACATACTCTGCTCTTACCATCAGGAATATCCTCGATGAGAAAGTTCTCAGCCCGCTTGAAAAGCGGGAGGAGGTCGTTGAAGGACCAGCCAGGGTTCCCCAGGGAGGCCCAGTTGTCGTAGTCCTTGCGGTTTCCCCGGACGTACAGGGCACCGTTCATGGACGAAGTCCCTCCCAGCATCCGACCCCGGAACCAGCGGCATCGCTGACGAATAAAACAATTTTCATTTGTGGGCGGAAAATGAGTCGCACTGTCTGATATAATGCGACGGCCTTGAGAGTTTAATCGCATGGTATTGATGAGGGAAACTGGTAAGAAGTGGGTCAATGCAGGTGAAAGCGATCAAATGAAATGGATGACGAAGCGAGGCCAACGCTGGAGAGTACCTCACCCATGAACGAAGCAATTTCTAAAATATATCCATCCTTGATGACGCTGTATTATTAAAACAGAAATATAGCCAAGTGTCACCAGTTGGAGACGTGTGCGTAATAACATATGCAAATTAGCTGTACCATATTCCAATATATTTTTCATTGCGTGATAATCTCACTAATACGAAAGCGGAAACTAGGAAAGCTGAAATTGAAGTAAGAATAGCGACGGAACTTACCCCTTCCTTGAGCGCGAGGCAGGAATCCTCCTGAGGCTCACTGGAGTAGGCATAGTCGAACTTGGTGAACCACCACATGAAAGAGGCGAAGGGAGGTATCAGGGAGAGCTTGGACCCGTCCGAGCCGGCCTCGATCACCAGCACCTTCGCCCACGGGTTCTCCGACAGCCGACTCGCGATCACGCTCCCCGTCGTCCCGCCTCCCACTTTGCGTGGAAGCAATGTGGATGCATCGGGTTAGTACTTGGAATGCCGCTTCCACGACCGCCGACACGCATTATCCTTCCACGAACGCCGAACTGTGAAACCTGTCTCAGAAGTCTTCTCCCGGGAATGCCGATTACTCTCTTCCTTCTCTCTTCCGCCACTGCCGAATTTTTTTGTTGTTGTCCGTATTCGAACCCTTGATTTCATGACCAATGTGTTTCGTTTCGACTACTATACCACTACTCCACCGTCCCCACACGAGTTCAGGAAGGTACATTTTACCACTCTAAGCTTTGATTTTTTACTCTCGGCATTGGTCAAACCTTCCAGGAATGCCGACCAATGGCCAATTTCAAATACATCTTGATGACTAAAGGTTTAAAGTTTTTAGTACTTTAAAGTTTAAAGTTAAAGTAAAGGAAGCATTTGCTTACTTTATTAGCCGACACACCTTCAAAAGGCATGATGAATTTGTTTTATTGAGATATCAAATAATTTTATGAATTACACATCACATGGTAATCTGCAATTTTTTCACCTTGGCATGCCTCGACCATATATTAATAGTTTCGTCTTTTTTCGTCGTCACTTTCGCTATGCAGAATCTACCCAAGAGTTGCATGCGGATCATTGAACTTACCTTCCTTGCATTTCCAATAGCGCTTCCGTCTCTCCTTCTTCTCAGACGGAAATACTTGCTGGCTAAGGATGAGGCTTTCGCCTCCTCGAGGACCCCCGTTCCGGTCTACAAGAAGCCTCCTCAGCCATGTTCGTCGTTTATCTT